CACAAAATGCAATAAAACGCTACAAAAAAACCGCTACAAATGTGTCGCTGGTCTCTATAAATCTCATATCTTCTCTACATTCATTTACTCCATCTCTTTTCTTTCCTCTCCTATTCTTCCTCATAATTCTCTCTTTTTTTCTTACTCTCTCATATGGTGGTTTCTTTCTCTTTACTGTATGGTAAGTGAATTTTATTTTATAAGTCATTGTATCTTTTATTTGTTTTTACTTAAAATTTACTAACATATTTATTTCTCCTTTTCTTTCAGATTTTTCTTCCTCACACTTGTCATGTCCTCCTCAACTGATTCAAATACTTCTCAACCTAACACTATAGGTTCAATATTACAAACTATCTCACCTTCAATTCAACTATCTTATTAAATATTTCATTAATTATCTTATTAAATTAAATTCACTTCCTTTGACACACTCATAATTTAATTACATATTGTTTATTACAAAATTTAAATATATAAAATGTAACACAACTAATTATACAAATTAACAAAAATTCTTCAACATAATCTATTTAATGGTTTTTAAAATTATAATATTATATTTTCTAATAATGAAAAACTACAAATTTTTTTTCTTGCACGAAAACATTTCTAGCGGTTGCAATCCGCTACAAATATTTCGTGATTCCAAAATTTCTAGCGGTTCAAACCGCTAGAAATTTTTTTGGCGCCATTCCAAAAATTTAATTGGCGGGAAAATTTAATTTCCCTAAAATTTCTAGCGGTTCTATAACCGCTAGAAATTTTGGCGCGCTAATGAAAATATTTAATTCCCGGCAAAATGAGATTTGGTTTAGAATGTTTCTAGCGGTTATAAAACCGCTAGAAATTTTTTTCCTTTCAGCATTTTCTATCGGTTACAAACCGCTAGAAAGTGTCTAGCGTTTTGACCATGCTGTGTAGCGGTTGCCATAACCGCTAGAAATTTTTTCTTGCGCCTGGTTTTCTAGCGGTTTTGTTAACCGCTACAAATGTTATTTGTTGCGGTTAAAACCGCTAGAAATGTGTCACTTTAACCGCTACAATTGACATATTTTTTTGTAGTGATTATCGTGTTTTGAGACAAGTGAGAGGAAAAAAAATTATCGCGAATGAGTCTATCACTCATATATATATATATATGAATATATATAAGGCCTATGTAGTCTTGTTCTTCAGCTTTTGATTTCTTATAGGAGGTAAAAAAATATATATTTAATAATTAGAAGATTTAATAATTAAGCTAAATCAATAATTCAATTCCTTATTTTATTCACATAGATGGCGGATTCTTATGATCATGTGAAAGCACAAAATTTGAAAGGTGGTCTTATTTTTCTTTTTTTTGTTTTAAAAAATTGGATGTAAGAGAAAAAGAAGAAAATTTGACTTGGAGTAATTTAGCATATTGAATCTTATATTTTGATATTTAGCTCTTTTATATAATTATAATTTTTATGTTTCATTCATTTTTTCTAATTTTACCTAATTTTTTTAGCCAAAATAAAAAAGATAATTGTTGAAAATAATATTATCTTATATATATAATTATATATTTCTTCGGATAGGGCCAAATGGGCAGGGAAGCATACCCTGCCCGCGACCTTGCCCTGCCCGTGAATCAGCCCGACCCGAAGATGCCCATTTTTGCTTGGGTAACTTTTTACTGGGTTGGGCTGAGCGTTTTTCTTGCGGGCTCGGATAGGCTTATTGGACATGTGGACCTCATGCACACCCCTAGCTCGTACCAAATTTGCCCATCTTGGCAACAAAAAATAGTTGCTAGCTACTACGCTCAGGGTGACTAGAACTTTTTTTTTTAAAGGATAATATTATAAATTTACAAGCATTTTAAAATGATAATTAATTTAGAATTTTGCAAATTGAAATAATATTTCTTAGTTTTTGAAATTCAAATGTTATTCTTTTGAAAAGTTTCCTGTCATAAAAATGCAAATGAGCAGAGACAAGCGGCATCACTTAAGATGTAAAATTTTTGTCGGTGGAACTATAATTGACATTATGTCCCCACTCACTTTGTGGACCGAAATAGTATTTTTAATGTCCATCAAATCGTTTTGGCCCAACAAAGTCTAGATCAAATATTCAGAATTTCAGGCCCAAAAATAAAGATAAAAAATCTTCAGAATTATATATAAACCCCAACCAACAGGGATTGAGTCTAACAAAAGCTAATCTCCCACAACGTTCGAATCTCTATTGAGAGATGTGTCTACATTTAGTGCCTGTCAATGCCTCGAATAGTATTGTCTCCAATAAGAAGATACCTATGCTTTAGCTAAAAAAAAAAGACTACGTCCAATCTTCAAAGTCTGGAGAGAGGAGAGTTGCTGGGGATTGTCTCTTTTGGTGTTTTTTCCCAAATTCTTTTCTTTATGATTACTATGATAATGTAACGCCTGGAATATATCAAGATACAGGCTAAATTATACAAAAGTCCTCTGAATTTTGACACGATTGCATATAACTTTCTTAACGTCTCAAGGTTTAAATTTAACTAGCTTGATCTCTTACTGTTTTATTATGGACCCTTTACCATTAACTTACCATTATTTTTTTAACGGAATTTGCAATGCCAGATCAATATAAAACATTTTGCATCCTATGTGGCATCTAACTTGCCTAATATTTCAATACTAAACTCCCATCTATTAATTTTGTCCTATTTATTTAATGTTTATCAAAACCAACTCTTTTCTTTCACAGTAATATTTTTACGATATTATGATCTTATTTTACAATCTTAATAAATTTATTATGATTTTGACAATCATTTATTAATTAAAATAGCAATTTTGTATGGCAAAACATAGAAGAAAAATGTTATTTAAAAATTTATATTGACAAAAAAATATAAGAATAAAAATGAGTAAGAGTTTTTTTAATGATAAAATGACATTGTAATCCTTATATAAAAATGATATAATTACTATAAAATAATTATATTAGATAGGATGCCACATAAGACGCCACATAAGATACAAAGTGTCTTATATTGATTTGATATGACAAATTTCATTAAAAAAATGACCGTCAGTTAACAACAGAGTATCTATAATAAAAAGAATAAAGGTCAATTTTGCCTTAAAAATTTTCACAAAAAAGCACTGACAAGAAGTTTTTTTTTTTTTAAGCAATGTTATTTTGAAAGTAATAAAAACGCAGCAATGTCGCCCTCCATTAGCAAGCCCTAATGGTCAACCGTTAGTTGACTAAATTATGTTGATACAACTTGCCACGTGGCATAATATGCCACCTATTATTTCACATAATATGCCATGTCATCATCACCATCACCTCTATATTGAAACCCTTTTTCCCATCTAGCCTAAAATTGCAGCTCGCCAGAGATGATTGTTATGAACCCCAACAAATCCTTCTACTCCATTGATTTGATTCGCCAATCCCCAATCTCCCAAAATTACAAGGAAAAAAAGAAAAAAAAACAAAATAACTTCCCAAATAGATAATGAGCTAATGAAATTGAGCAAGAATTCTATGTCTTGTTCTCTTTCAAATCCAGCTCGCACTCGTTTATCAACAAAATCAAACAGAATGGAATAACAAATCACATCTAAAATTTAAAAAAAAAAAAGAAAAAATAAAATACCCAGATTTAAAGGGATGGGGATGAACACGATCTGAGGATGAAACTCATCGAGCTATTGAACCTCAGATCGTGATCTACTTTGCTCCCAATCCCACAAGTGTAGAAATTGGTTTGCACGATCGTCTTGTCTTTGTCCAAGAACTCAAAGTCTCGACGAAGATGAACCCAGTGGAGGAGGTTCACTGCAATCAGTGATGATAAAGATGAGGGCAATGGCGAAGTGGAGAAGGTGAGAGAAAAAGAGATAAACCAGCATAAGTAAAGTGAAAGAGAGAACAAGAGAGGGGAGAAGCTCGAGAGTTTCATTGGCCGATGAGGGAGAGACTGAGCCAACAGGGATCACATAACAGAGACGCAGGGGACGTGATCAATGTTGTCATCGGCGTCGCAGGTGGCGGAGAGCAACGTGGGTGGTTGGGATGGCGTCGCGAGTGGAGGGGGTGTCGTGGGTGGTGGGGACGACGCCGCGGGTAGTGGGGGCGATGACACAGGTGGAGGGGATGTCGCAGGTGGTGGGGACGGAGTTGCCGCAGGGGATGAAGAATTGATGCTTGGAACAATTAAGGTAGTTCTCTCGATTGTTCCTGAATGCTTTGGTTAGAATAGAAGTTAAGGACATGTTTGGCATTTCATATTTTTTGCTTTAATTTTTGATGATTTTGTATCCTATGTGGGACAACATGTGTCATAATCTCTTATATGGCAGAGCCACACCAACATAATTTAGTCGACTAACCGTTAAGGCTTATTAACAGAAGGCGACATTGCTACATTTTTATTACTTACGGGATAACATTGTTCCAAAAAAAAATTTCCTGATGCCCAATGCTCTTTTGTGGAAACTTTTGGAACAAAAATGACCTTTATCCCATAATAAAATAATAAAAGATTAAGGGGTTGAATTTAAATTTTAAAATGTCAAGAAGGTTACATGCAATTGACTTATAATTCATAGGACTTTATTGTAATTTAGTCTAAGATATATATAGACCCAAAATTTCCATGGGATAAAGCGATTTATTAGATGGAGAGCATTCAAAGCAATGTATAATGGTTGTGGTCTTGTGGACCCATTGAACAAACTAAAATATGAAGGCAATAATATAATGTGCAGCATTTTTTGGAAAATTATATTTTAGGGCTAAAATCATATATTTTTGGGGTTAAAATAATCTGCTATATTATTTTTTTTCCTGATAAATTTTATGAAAATTGAATTGCAAATAACGATTTAAATAACAACAAATTTAGAAATTTGAAAATTTCAATTGCAAATAAGGCAATTAATTTTCAATTGCAACTGTCGATTTGTAAATAAGATTAATGTTTACAACCATATAAACTGATATTTACCACTTATTTTTCAAGGAAAAAATCGGCGACCTAGCTCTTATCAATATGTCATATTTTGGGACTTAAATTACATTCCCTATAAAATTAAATCGCAAGCAATTCTCACCCTTGCACTCACAACATTATAACTTACCAAAAGAAAAAATAGACACTCAGTAGTTTAACTCAGTCTTATCTTTGATTGGCAACTGAGGGATGCTCTGTTCATGTCTAAAGAAATTACCTGGGTCGACCTTAGATTTCACCTTCGCCAACCTTATAAAATTATCCTTAAAATACTTAAATCCCCAAGCGCCTGACCTCAAGAAGCTTGTCTCATTAAATCGGTTCATCCCCAGATCAAGATCTCTGTAATTCACATACGCTTCCCTGGGAAAACTTGAAGCATAAGGAGCCATAGTGTCATACACTTTCCTAATCCATTTCATATGCTTCTCTATGTTCTTCTCTTCATTTGGCAACGCAGTAAAATACTGTATCATGAAGAGTGTTCCTTTTCTGTGAGGAAATGGAGTAGCAGATTCTGAAATTTTGTTCATGATTCCTCCATACGGAGTCCAAAGCATGGCGGGCATATCTTCCTGTAGAAACAATTCCCAAAGAGAATTCAATGCAGTCTCAGGAATCACTTGCCTTGCAAAATCTGACTTGCTCTTGAAAGATAACTTGGCGATGGATTTCCCTTGCAGAAGAATTTCTGGGGATGTGTTGTTTGGATAGCCAGCATGATAAAGTACAGATTTGATCCAACTTGTTTCTAAACTATCCTTTTTGGTTAAGCCCAATTCAGGAAAACTTTTCGTCATCAATTTGAGAAGCTTACTGGTCCCACCGAGAAAAAGAGCATTAAAAGAAGCTGATACAGTTCTTTTACCTGAAACACTAGAATTTGTTGTTCGAATTTGAACTCTAAGGAAGAGATTTTCATCAATGTTTGGTGCTACTTGCTGCCATTTGTGAAGAATTTTGTTTGCATTTTGTTCTAAGGTTTTATTGACAGTAAAAACTGTCACTATAGATGGAACTTGAACTAGTTTGATCTTCCACCATAGAATAATCCCAAAGCTTCCACCACCTCCTCCTCTAATTGCCCAAAACAGGTCTTCTCCCATGGCTGCTCTGTCAAGAACCTTGCCATTAGCATCAACGATTCGTGCATCGATCACATTATCAGCGCCAAGGCCATACTTTCTCAACATGGTGCCATAAGCACCTCCAGTAATGTGACCACCGATGCCTAAACTTGTCCATATGCTTGCAGGGAAGCCATGGACTGGACTTTTCTCAGAAATTCTGTAGTAAACTTCTCCTATTGTAGCGCCGGCCTGAATCCATGCCGTGTTTCCTGCTATATCGACTCGGATAGCACGTAGCTTGGAGAGATCCAGGACCATGAATGGCTTCTCAATGAAAGAAACATATGAAAGGCATTCATAATCATGTCCTCCACTACGTATCCTCATGTGGATTTTGAGCTTTTTGGCACAGATGACAGCAGCCTGAACATGAGAATCCTCAAATGGAGTGAATATGAATTCGGGTTTCGGCATTGAAGGGAGCAAGCACTTTGGAATTTGAGCTGTCGATTCAAGGACTGAAGCATAGGAAGCATTTTTTGGAGTGTAAAATGATTTGGAAGATGGGACTGGTTTCTCAGAATTTGCTTCAAGACAATGAATGAACCTTTCTTCAGTAGGAAATGAAGCTGACGAAACTATGAAGAACATGAACTCTAAATTCACCAAGAATAGCAGCAACCTTTGAGACTCCATGGAATTACGATTTCTCACTGTGATGCTTCAGTGCAGAAGCATAAATCTTCTGTGTGCTTATATAAACTGATTTATCTGTCATTTTATGAAGGCAATATAGGTGTGAACAAGGTGAGATATGCATCAACTTTAAGATATAAAATTAATTTGATTTCAAGTGGATAGCGTGTACTTCTCTGGAGTGTTAAAGTGTCGTTATATTGTTAGTCTCAAAACTATTTTTTATTTTTTTTCTCACAGTAATTATTTACATTCGTTATATAAAAAAGCGAAAAAGAGAACAATTATATACAAAATCTCAAAAACAAGAGAGACATACAAAAGAATTAGAATTAAAAAAATAAAGGGCTGTTGAGGGCCTGGCGTCTAAAACGTGAAGTGTGTGGCTCCGTATATATGCAATGAGTGCGATTCTCGAAGGGGCCGACAAGATAGGGTGTCCACATAAGGAGACGAACGTCATTAAAGGTTGAAAAGCATCTGCTCTACCTTACGATTACGACTAGACCTTGCACCAAAAAAACAATTATGACCAGATCGATCCCAATTCTAAGCATTCTTGCCGACATTGATTATATTTTACCCTTAAAACAACCATGTGTTAAATATTTAGGTATTTTATTTACCAAAAATATATGTAGGTATTTCTGAAGTTTTCTAAATTCAAGCACCACTTCCTTGACTTCAATAAGGGAAAAATGAGAATATTATGAAAATTCCAGAAAATTAATTAATTTTCTTTTCCCATGTGTCAAAAAAAAATTAATTTTAAATATATTCATTGCGAAGTCGTCGATAACTGTTTATAATAATGATAAAAGGGAGGAAATAAAGTTTGAAGGAAGTTGCGAGAACTTTCAATAATGTAATTTTGGTTAATTTTTTCCCCTTTAATCACATGAATGGAGGCATTGTGGTGGCCACAGCCAGAGTACTTTTATGTTGCCGCATGCAATGCCCTCCTCTTTGGTAGAAACACTAGATGTCTTAGCACGGTAGACAATATGTATCATTATAGAATCAGATATGGTGTTATGAAAGCAGAGCAACATGACTTGAGTATATGATTGGAGTTGTATAGGTTAGAACTCAAGTACTATATAAGAGAGAAACACTGCAAATTCGAGTTAGTAGACAATATATATATATATATATATATATCATAGAATCTGGTGTGGTGTTCTAAAAGCATAGCAGCATCACTTAAATATGACTGAAGTTGTATAGTTAGACTTCAACTACGTACGAAGAGAGAAACACTGCAAACTCGAGTTGGTAATTTGAGCTGCATAGCTTGAAAGCAAAATATGGTGTGGAACTACCAAGTGTGCACAGAGACATTCAAAATTGCACTTCGAGTAGTCATAACTCCCTCAATTCAACTCCGAATTTAGCAAATGAACTATAATGAAAAGCTTTGAGTCTTTCTAATGCAATAAGACTCATTGTAAAATTTCTTGTATTCTAAAAGATATGATCAAAAAAGTGAACACAGGTTTGGAATATTTTTTGTACGAAGTGTGAGAACGAAGCACAAGCTTTTGAAAGGCATATCTTCTTCATGTAAAAACGTTTGATATTAAAAGAGGCAGCCTCATTTTGAGTCTATTTTCATATGAGAGAAGTTTCATAGTAAAAGGGTTTGTATCGTGAGACATATTGTAGAAACACCAAAACAAGTTCAATGTTGAAAGAAAAACAAAGCATGATAGAGTATGAAAGATATTGACCATTATAAACTTATGGACTCAAGTGTATGACTTGATAGTTACTTGATATAAGGCACAAAATCAACTTCTAGTTAACAAATGATTTAAATGATTAAAGGATAACTTATATATGAGATAAATATAAGATGCAAAATTTTTGCTCTAATACTTGGCATCCTCAAGAAAGTAATAGGTCATCAAACATAATATGTGGGATAATGGCACTTCTTGGTTTAATTCTAAAACGATGGTGGGAGGCATAGTTTGGGCTATGGTTTTGTACTTTTGTTTGTGTACATTTCAAACACTAGAAGAGCTTTGGTTGTTCCAGTGTATAGGTTAGACTATGAATAAGCTTATGGTTTAGGTGCTTTAATGGTGGATGTAGTAATGAGCGATGTTGCATGTATTGCATATTTAACATGTTGCATATAAATATTATGAATTTTAATGATAATGCATACTAATAATAGAAAAAGGATGATAATATAGTTGCATCTATGCTTGTTTGTATATGTACATAGAATAATTATGGGTTACTCAAATGTTAGCACTCACCTCTTTCTCAACATTTTTTCTACTGAAGGTTCATATCTTGTAAAATTATCATTGAAATCTTAAATTATAAAAGAAAAATAAATAATCAAATTGAAATAAAAAATAAAAAGTATTTCGTAATAAATCATATCGAAGTCAAATAAATGTTGGTCTTATAATTAAGGGAAAAAAAAAAGAAAGAACAATGAGAGAATCCTCTCCCAAATTTCAAAGTTGAAACCTAACCAAATGTAAAAGAGAAATAAAAATCTTTACAAAGACTAAAAATTAAGTTATCTAGATGGCAAAAAACCATTACTACAAAATGCATCATTTATATCCATTATTTTTGTTTGTTCATGAAAAACAAAACGAAAAAGTCCATATTCTCGTCTGTTTAAGTTAAACAAGTGAAAATATAGAACCATACTTGTCTGTCATCCAAAATATATGAGTATTGTAACATCCCAACTTTTAGTCCTAGAAGTATTAAAATTAGCCTAAAATGAGCAGACTGTCAGACCTCTTATGGCAGGAGTCCCAGAAGTTCCCTGGAGGAACAAGAGGATTCCCAGGGACTAAATCGCAAAGTAAAAGTTTCCTAGGATTGAAAAAAGAGAAAGATAGAGATTCGGATGAAATCTCAAGGCCCAAGAATGAGAAGTTGAGATGAGTGTAGGCCATAGATTTTGTTGGAGATCTCAATAAGGTGAATTATGGAGTTAAGTTGAATCAGGGATAAAATCGTAATTTTATGAAGTTTCGGGCCGTTAAGGGCAAAAATGAAAAATTATGCCCAAAAATTCCAAAAGAAAAATCTTAGAAAATGAGAAATGGCATATTAAGGCCTGTATATGAAGAAAAATGATAAAAATGCCCTTGGGTCTTAGAAAATGAGAAATGGCATTTTAAGATTATGGCTCATTTTGAAGTATAAAGCTAGATTTAATTAATTGAGCCAAGAGGAGGCCTTAGAAATGCAAGCAAAAAATGGAGATTTATGAGTTAAGAGGCTATAAAAAATTATAAAATTAGTCTCATACCCAGAAGGCTAGCAAAATGGCTTTAAAAATATTTAAAAGCAAGTTGTGCCAAAAAAGAGCAATTTATGGAAAATTGAAAAAGAAATGCCTATGGATCGAGTTATGGATTGAGAAAATTTACAAATTTTCTCCAAAATTCAAGGAATTTTATGATTTTCTTGGATCAATTTTTAGAGATCAAGATTGAATAAAATGCTCCAGTTAAATATTAAATAATTTTTGTCCTCTAAATAGAAGACAAAACCAAAGAAAATATCTAAAGGTCATTATGACGGTACTGAGTCAGCATGTTGAGTTGTCGAGTGCAATTATGACACCTCTGAGTCAGATGGTGAGTCATTAGGGGATATTTATGGGCAGTATAAAAATCAGAACGTAGTATGGGTACATTTTAGACAGTCCTTTGTCTACCCGTTATAGTAAAATCTCTATTGCGTGACTCAGCAAGACTAAATAGCCTCTCAGTAGAGCTAATACTTATTTTGTTCTATGCTACTCTAAGATGGCACCATATGTATACTTAATTGAGATGAGAAAATTGTGTCAAAACATGTTCCAGTGGTATAGGATAAGTCAGGATCTTAAAAAGTACCCGATACTATGCAGAATGGCAAAATAGGTGGAGAAATACCTAAGGATTGTATTTTACGAGAATTTTATATTAATTTTCTCCCTATTTTAATGTCATAATGATGAAGGGACATGGAAGAGACAAGTGTATTGTTAGATAAATGACACATGTACAGTGGGATGCAAGACACATATACGATTGGATTAAAAACATGTAATTTGGTGATGTAAGCATGAAGTCATAGGACACATGTTATCACAAGATAAAAAGAAAAAATAGACAGTCCAAATTAAGCTACATATTTTTAAGATCAACAATTGAATTAAGTCTTGTTTTCTATAAATACCCCCTCCCCTCCCCCATTTCGTGCAAGCCATGGAATCCATGGGGAAACTCTTGCAAAATAGATTCTAGAGAGAGAAAGAAGAAGGAAGGAGAAAGGCCAAGTGATCCTATGCAAGATCAAGCTCCAAAACAAGGTATGTTCATGGTTTTTGATATAGTTTTCACTACCCTTGTCATGGTTGAGCTTAGTTATGGATTTTGATGGTTTTTGGGAGCTTGAAACCCTAGAGGGATATGCTGCACGAAATTTCTTAGTTAAGGGGAAGATGAAATTGATGTTAGAATAATATTTAAAAGCTTAAAAGGAACAAGAATCAAATGGTTCTAGCTTTGTATTAATTAAATTCCATGACTTTGGAACCAAAGAGGATGCCACAGCTTGATTGGTTCTTATGCCTAGGATGTGATTTTGATGATTTTGATGCTTCCAATATGTTTAAAATGAAAAATTGTGTAGGGACAACATGAAAGAATGAAGTTAGAAGAATTGGAACCAAAAATAGAATTTAAGTGGCAGATTTTGGTTTTGGCCTAGAACCAGAGGAAGGAGTTGGATTTTCATGAACCTAAGCTCATATTTGGATTCTTTGGGCAAAATTTTGTAGGATTGGCTTAAGGGAATAATTTTTACAAAGCTAGAACACTACATTATAAATTAAGAAAAACAAATTAAGTTTAAGGACATAAGTCTTCTACATTGTGTAGTTCATGGTCCTAGTGAGTAATGTGACCCTTATAGCTATGATTAGGACCTTAAACATTCAAGAGAAGGTTTGGATGTGATTAACCAAAAGCTAGATGGTTGGGAAGCTTAGGGAGCAAGTTAAAGAACAAGAGAAAACTTATGGTGCA